ATACTAACTTTCCCCAAAGGAATGCAATTTTGTTAGTGCATAATAATGCATTAATATAATATATTTATAGGGGACTTCAGAGGTTCCTGATAATGTTCAATGCCTCACCTTGTTTTAACTCTCAAAATAGTCTTGGAAGATGGAACAAATGGTTATTATCATGTCTTGTTTCCAGCGAGGCACTGAGGGGTAGAGGGGCCTGGCAAATCTGAATCTCAATCCAGATGATTAACATAATATGGTCATTAATAAGATGGCCATTAACAGATGGAACAGTTATAGATGAAAAAATTTGGACAAAGATCCATAGGATGGTTAGTGGCTGAGCAGGAATAGAACATTTTTTAGGCTGGGCACAGTGGCTCACACCTTTAATTTCAACACTTTGGGAGGCTGAGGTGAGCAGACTGCTTGAACCTAAGTTCGAGACCAGCCTGAACAAGCATGGCAAAATCCTGTTTCTACGTAAAATACAAAAAAAAATAGCTGGTGTGGTGGCACGCACCTGTAGTCTCAGCTATTTGAAAGGCTAAGGCAGGAGGATTGCCTGGACCTGGGAGATCGAAGCTGCAGTCAGCAGTAATGGCACCACTGTACTCCACATGGGTGATACAAAGCTATCTCTGTCTCAAAAAAAAAAAAAGAAAAGGAAAAAGCCTTTGAGCTTATTACTTTAGTTAATCTAATTTATCCTTGCCTTTACAGTAGGTTTTTTTAGTATTACCAAGAGTGTTATAGTATATTCTCAAATCCAGTAAATTATTTTCTTACATAGGTTCAAGGAGACACATTTGAAAAGACAGCATGCAATGCCTTAATAAAAATATTCTCTGTTAAAATAATAATATTCATGTGTCAATGGATGACCAAACTTCTTTCTATAGAAGCATACTCAAAAAGGAAATCTTGCTCATACATCGTTCTGGAAAACATTGACCATTGCCAACATGAGAAATTGAAGAGGTATTCTTTGAGTCTTAATAAGAGTATTATTTCAATTACTTAAAAAAATCCATAGTATTTTCTCAGTTTTTTGTCTATAAAGCTTTGGTGTGCTGTTATTGTTCATTGATGTATTATGAGTGCCCAGAGAGTTCACTCAGGTACTTAAGGAATATTTATTGAAATGAAATGAAATTGCTTGTCAATAATAAAAAGTCAAAATGGCTTTTTTTAAACCCCTGGATTTTTGTTTGAGGGCTTTAGGGGGTGGTATTTTAATAGTGCATGGATATAATAGCTAAGTTTTCTGTTAATAAAATTATCACTAATTGTTAAGATAGCGGTGATAAGTTACTATTTTACCATGTTCTACAAAAACCATGAAATCTAGGCATTTCATGGCTTGAACAAGCCAGGGAAACTCTGCTAAAAGGAGGAAAGAAATGGAAAAGGGAAGGAAGATGAGTGGACTGCCATGCCAGTGGCTCACTTAGATGCTCTATATACACAAGCTCACGTAATTTCATGAAAGCCTGTGTGAAGTTATCCCACTTCCAAGACAGGAAGCAGAATACAGAGGGGTTTGACAGCCCACCCTCCAATTCCATAGTCTCACAATTTGGAAATTAGGAGATAATGTTTATATCCAGGACTATGTTGCTGCTTCCAAAGTCTATTTGTTTTGGGGCCAGATTCCTGCCAGAAAACCTGGTATTGCCAGTCTAATAGTTTCAGGCAAGAACCACTCTTTGAACCCAGATTTTTCAAATAAGCTATATGAAAATAGATATGCAAATGTACATGTATAGCTTACTCAGTTCAGGTTTTTGTCCTTATTGCTGAAATAAATCTATCTTTTCAAGGTCACCAGTGACCTTCCTGTTGCAAAGTCCAGTAGCAATTTTCTGCTGTTGTCTTACTTAATCTATCAATAGCATTTGATGTAATTTTTTCCCTTTTTCTTGAGACACTTTTTTTTTAACTTGGACGATTCTTAGACCTCTTCTCTTTTCCATCTGCACTCATTCACCATCCAGTCTCTTGACTTTAAATACCCATGCTGATCACTCTCTATTTTCTATCTTTAGGAAAGACCAACCCCCTGACTGCATAGTCATATATTCAGTTGCCTACTTGACTTTGCCACCTGGGCATCTAAAGGACATCATGCACTTGACATATTTAAGATTGAACTCCAAATCGTTCCCTAGAAACCTGCTCCTCCTGTAATCTTCCATGTGTCCGTAAATGGCAAGTCTATCTTTACAGTTGTTCAAGCCGGAACTCTTGGTATCATCCTCGATTTCCCTTTTTCTCTTGCCCTGTTTTCATTATGTCAGCAAAGCCAGCCAGCTCTTTCTCCAGAGTGTGTCCAGAATCTGGCTACTTCTTCCCACTACTCCTATCACTGTTACCCTGGTCCAAGAACCACCAAAATCTCTCACAAGAGACTCCTATCTGGTCTCTCTCTTTCTGCCCATGACATTCTACAGCCTGTTCTCATAGCAGTATAGTGACTGTTCCAAAATATGTCATAATGTCACTCCTTTGTACAACCAACATTGACTTGATTCTCATGTTAGAATAAAAACCTGTGTCTTTACAATACCCTACAAGGCCATTCAGAATGTATTCCCCAACCTCCCTATTAGTCAACTTTGATATCCTTCCTACTCCTGTCTCCTTTGCTGCTTCATCTCCAGACACAACAGGCTCTTTGCTCTCCCTTCCCCATCCTAGGAATGTTTCTTTTAGGGTCTGCACCAAGAGTTCCCACAGAGATCTGTATGGCTCACTACCTCATCTCCTGCAGGAGTTTGCTCCCATGCCTTCTTTGAATTCTTCCCTGATCACCCTATTAAAATTGGAGTTCCTGGGGCCAGGTACAGTGGCTCACTCCTGTAATCCCAGCACCTTGGGAGGAAGAGGTGAGCTGATTATCTGAAGTCAGAAGTTTGAGATTAGCCTGGCCATCATGGGGAAACCCCATTTCTACTAAAACAAAACAAAACAAAAAAAAAATGAGCTGGGCATGGTGGCTTGTGCCTATAATCTTAGCTACTCAGGAGGCTGAGGCAGAAGAATTGCTTGAATTCTGTAGGCAGGGGTTGCAGTGAGCTGAGATCTTGCCACTGCACTCCAGCCTGGGAGATAGAGCAAGACTCTGTCTCAAAATAGTAATAATAATAATAATAATAATAATAATAATTGCAGTTCCTCTCCGAAAGCATCTCCCAATGCCAATGCTTTCTTTCTTTCCAGAGTTCATGTCACCATCTGACCTACTGTTCATTTTACTCATTTATCTTTACGCATCTTCTGTTTTCCACACTAGAATATAATCTCTGTGGGAACAGGAATTTTTACTTATGTCCCTGTCACCCAGGGCAGTGCCTGACGCATAGTAGGCACTTTGTGAATACTTTTGGAATAAACAAACAGCTACTTTTAAAATCTTCATCTAACAAATTATAGCTCTAACTAATGTTTTTCCAGTGTTGATTGCAAGCCCTCCTCTATTTCTTGCCCATCTCTCCTCTCTGGATCTGCTCTGATGTTTGTTGGACTGGTCTTTGGTGTAGTAATGCGGGAAATTCTTAACTCTCTGCTGGCAAATGCTTAGGCATTACACTTTATGTACTGTATTTTTCTCAACAGTATTTTCATAGCTCTGGCTGTTCCTTTGACAACTAGAAAATAAAAGGAATAAAATCCTCTTCTCATGCTGCATTAAGTGGCCACCTCAGCTACCAGTGAACACAGAAACTCCTGGAATTTTAGTTTTGGTTTAACTCCCTGCCTATATGAGGCCCCACAGTGTATATTCATATACTTATTGCATTTATTTTTGGGAATAAACCATCTTATTTCCTTGAGATCCATTTAGGGTGGCCAACTTCATTTATTCTTTTAGAATAACACATATTATTTGCTTGAGATTCATCTAGGGTGGTTATTTTTGATACCAGTTGTGTATATGTAAGGTCTTTCCCCAAAGAACTCCAGCTGCTTTGCATGGTTTCAGCAAGCAGGAAATTCTGTACCTGGCAGTTCTTGCTGACCCAGCTAGAAGTGGCCGAATGACGCATTTCACTTTCAGGGGCTATTGCTGGGTTTTCGTATTCATACTATAAATAGCACATCAGGGAACACTCAGATACACTGAACATTTTCTTTGCAGTCCAGTTCAGTGTTGCCAGAAAGAAAGTCACATGCTATTTGGTTCTGTGCAAGTCACTTGCCTCTTAGTGGCTCCTAAGTTCTAGACAGACCCACCCAGAGTGTTTATTTGCTCATAAACACAGCATTACTCTCAGCAAATACTACTGTGCCTTTGTTTATGCTGCTTTCTGTGCCTGGAAGAATCCTGCTTATTTTTTAAGTTTCATCCCAAGTGAGAAAGCTTTCCCTGAGTTGACTCAACAGAAATGCCTTCTTCCTCCTTGTGGATTGCATCCCATGTATATCTCTTTGGCAGCAACTTCAGCATATAATAGAGTTTGTTACCTCGGTGTGTATTTTCACACTCTTATCATCCCTTTCTCTACTCACATACCAGATTGTGAACCCTCGGGCCTGTGACTTGTGTCTGCATGTATCTATTCACAACAGTTAGCAAAGGAAATGTTCAGAAACATTTGTCGAGTGAATGGCTGATCCTATGAATGAATGAAATTGCAATCACATGGGAGAATAGAGCTCATTTGTTTCCAGCTTAATGGCTTTAAAAATAATCCTGTATTTAGTTTGTGTTTCTTTTTAATTTTCCCTAGCAAACACCTTCTGCTATGTGCATGGCCAATTGTAGATGAAAAAATAAATGTTGTTGTATTTAAATACACTCCAGGAATGGTTTTAAAAATTTTTGCTTTTTAGATTTCAAGGCAACAGACTAGTGTGTTCCTTACAAACTTCTTGGCATCTTTCTTTTCACATGCTCTTTTTTTGCTCAACCCAGTCTTCAGTCAAATTCCTCCAAAGGGTCTGCTGTAAACAATGATTTTGTGAGTGGTTGTGTGTTCTTTGCAGTGAAAACCCGCCTTGTTTTCTGTTGCTAGGCAACCCCATTCCAGCTGCCATTGAAGAAATGCGCGGTGGTGGGAAATGGTGGGATTCTGAAGAAGAGTGGCTGTGGCCGTCAAATAGATGAAGCAAATTTTGTCATGCGGTAAGAGAGAGCACCCACAGCGCGGCCTCTGCCTTCTCTCCTTTTCCCCACCCCTCCCATAAGCCCTGGGGCTTTTCAAAACTAGTCAGTTGAGATTAATCAGTTGTAGCCTGCTCCTTAGCTTTACTTCCAGCTCATAGACAAGTGAGGTTAGGAAAGGGGTAAGGGGGAGCATGACCAAGAAAGTACAAAGCCATGAAGACTCAGTGGAGAGACCCACTCTGCTGTGAATAAAGGCAGCAGTGGAAAGTGGAAAATCTCAGCTCTCATTTTAGATGGTAGAGTCAGGTGATTCTGACTTTTTCAATTGTTCCTTTCCTTAAGGCCAACCCTCTAGGAATAAATATCTTAATGGAATCATTTTATTTTATTTCCTATTCTTCTTAGTTTTTTCACCAAAGCATTTGTAAGTAGCGAGTGGGATCTGAAGAGGGATTAAATATTTGAGTGGGTAGGAAAACTGGAACTAAGGAGCGGGGTAAATTTCAAACAAGGAGGATGCTTGGTAAAGGGACTGAGCAGAGTGGTGATGTGCACATCAGTTCCAGGATAAACAGGAGGCCCCCACGGGAGCATGAAAAAAGATTGCTGAGACATATTCAGCCAGAGGCAGAGACTGCCAAATTGTAGTGGCAGCAGCCTGCACTGCTGGGTGATTCTGCCCAGACATGCTTACCAGCCAAGGTATAGAAGGAACGACAGCAAGTGATTGGATGAGGATAGGTTTGGCATTATCTGGGTGAGAGGGAAGAAGGACACAGAGTGACAACGTGGCGGGCTCTGGCTGGAGAGGGTATAAAGTGACACACCTTGAAACCTGGGCTGGGCAAAAAAGTCTCTGAGATGAGTTAAGGAGAAAGGAAAGGGGCAAATGATGGGGTCATTCAGAGCAGGGTTGAGGTAAGGGTGGCTCTTGGCCATGAATGAAAAAGAAATAGAAGCAGCAGCTGAAGTCAAAGAATGGCTTTCTGGAGGGTAAGATTTCAGAGCTCACGGCATCTGGCGGATGAGTGGGCATGTTATAGAAGAAGAAAACATTTGTTACTGAGCAAATAAGGGAACCTTGAGGATAGATTCTGAGGGGCCTTTCAGGTGGACCCTCAAGCCTTACTGAGGTGGGAATGATTATGAACCAAGTGCCAGCAGACTCCGTGGCCAGGAAGGGCGAAGATGGCAGCAACACCAAGGACAGAAAGCTGAGCGAGATTCTACATTCCTGTAAGTATAAATGAGTAACAGTCTAGGAATGGAAAAAAGGTAGCCAAGAGAATGCCAAGCCACCTCTGAGCCCTGAGTTAAGTGGGGGCGGGAAGAGTAAAGACTTTATCTGCGAGGGTTTTAGGCGAAGCCATGTAGTTTTCGGGGGCTAGGTTCACTCTTACTGTTGGTCTCCTTGAAAAACATTGGTTTCTCACTTGGTGACGCCTGCAGGAGAGTCTAGATCCTTCTATACTTACCTTTCCTTGGTGCAGGTACCCCCATTTGTATTTTTCCACTATATTGCAGTTTTTCTTTTTAATATATACAAACAATAGAAAAATGGAAAAAATACAAATGTAGTTCTTTTAGTTCCAGTCAATGCAACACCTGCTTATTGAGCACCCATGACATGGGCCTTGAGCTGGGTCTGGGAATGGTGCGTTGAACAATTCTGCAATGGATTCATATCCTGGAGATGTGCTTGCTACCATGGGGGAATTCAGACACTTGGGAGTTTCTCAAGAGAAGTGGTATGTGAGCTGAGTCTTCTCTTCATTTCACCCTAAGCAAAGAAACAACCTGGGTTTTTTCCCCAACCTGGGAAAGACACTGCTGTTGCAGTGTCATGAACAGTGGAAAGAATGGCTAGAGATTGAGTCAGAGAGGTATTCAAGGCATAAGAATGGAGAAAATCACCTAGAGAGCATGGATAGGTGAGAAGAGCAGAGCCCTGGTCCACCTTTAGGCACCCTCTCCAGTATTTTGGCATTAGGTGAGGCTGAGGAGCCAGCAAAGAAGACAGTGAGGTAGGAGACAGGCCCTTGCTGTTGTTGACTAGGTCTGTGACCTACAGTGCACTGTTTTACCCTTGCTGGGGCCCAGCTTTCTAGTTTGTAGGAGGAAGCAGGAGTAGACAATTCCTCAGGCCTTCCCACTGTGGCAGCTCTTACTCTATCTAAGACTGTGTGAATACTGTATCATTGTAACACCTTTTACGTAGTTTAGTTTAAATTTTCAAGTTGCTCCTGAGTATTATTAGTTTATGTGCTCCTTCCAAAAATTATCAAGGAAGAAGGAATAGATAGTATTCAACTCATAGATTGAAAGAAGTTAAGTGATTTCAGGTGGCCTTGATGCATGTAGAAGTATAAATGCACTTCATGCAGTGCAATAAATGTATTCTTGTATTATTCATGAGTGTGTATGTGTGTGTGTCATCCATTTGTGAAGATGGACATTTACTAACGTGTAGAAGACTAGGCTTAAGTACCATAGACGGTTATCTATTATTTCTTGTGGGCTGTATTTATCAAAAGTAAAGAAGACTTTGTTAGCCTTACATGCAATCTGGTGTTGACATATTCAAGTTCAGAATTAATGAGCACTTCTGATTAGAGTGCCTAGCACAGTATTAAATATAATGTTTGTAAAATATGGGGAGATGAGGGTTGAAAGAATTCAAACAAGGTAGCACCATAATTAGAACTATGTATACATATGCCTTTGGTTTAATTTCAAAAGTAGGGCTGTTTTCATGACACATTTTAATTTTTAAAAGTCTTATGTATGGTTTAAATTATAGGAGTAATAAATGTTGATAGATTATTTTAAAATTATTTCACCATTTGCAGATCTATTAATAAACAGTTGCTTAATATGCATTTTGGGACATGCTTAATATATTGAGATAATATTATATATTCTAAATTAAGCATTTAATGGATAAGTGTAGATTAGAAAGCATGCATATGTCTGGTCCAACACTGTAGGTTATGTGATGGACAGATACAGTAAGATAAAACATCCAAAAATAGCCCTGCGTGTACACAGTGATTTACCAGATTACAATTCAAAATGTCTTCTAGCACTAGGATATAACAATTTCATAATTTTCTTTGCTTAAATTCAAACACATGAAAATCAATTTCCCATTTCTCAAAGTAAACATTTGCTCTGTAGCCAAAAGCAATACTTTAAAAAATAATATTGTTGAATTCAATTTATTGAGAAGGGCTGCCAGAAAATGTAAAAGGTATTGAATACTTAAGAGGAAGTGGTTGACTCGGGAACATGGGTGAGACAACATATTTTTGGTGCCTTTTCAATTATACACAAATGCATGTTTTGCATACTCACATATACAAAAAAAATTTTAAGTAATTTTATGATTTTTCTACTTAAAGACTTCTTTTTCTCAAGCCCATTTCCCACTTACTTCCACCTCCCAATTCAAAGAATATTTATTTCTCATTAATTCTCTGATCAGATCTCTTTTAGGATTATGAGCACAGTTGCTAAGACACTTTAGCCATTATCTGTTAATTGTGCCAAGTGGTAATGTAAACTTTGAAATTTATTTTGCACCACAATTATGCTTTATTAAAACAAATTGACTTTATTAAATGTGCCTTTTGTGTACATCTTTGTAATTAGCAATTTAGGACTTGAGGAGCTATAGTTATGTGCTTTTCCTAAGAGAAGAGATACAGGAAAGTGCCGCAGATATTTGCACTTAAAGGATAAGTTTACCCGGAAGAACTTGCACCAAAATGTATTGTGATTATTTTCTGGAAATGCATCAAACTTTACATAAAATGTTATCTTTATGGTTTTAAGCATTCCCCTCTGTTATAGAAAAATAATAAACACCTGCAAGTTTTTCTTGAGCTATTACTCTGTGGCAGTAGATATGAAGAGACCCAGACACACGAGCCATGGAACACACAGGAAAACAAAGTATTTACTCCTGAAACCAGCTTGTTTAACAACGACAACACGTGTTGACAGCACTCCCCAGCAATACTGTTTACAGTTTTAGCATAACATAGCTGATTCTCACATGCTTCCAAGGGCAATTAGGATCAAAGCTTCTTTAGGAGACAAGTATCCAAATTTTGGTCTGTTTTATCCTGGAAGTCATCTTCCTCTGGGCGAAGATCAATTAGATCACAAGACCACAGTCAGTTACCACAGCCTGATGAGCCTGGCTGTTAATGCACGAACTCACTCCCTCATGAGAATCCTCAGGAAACCGCATGGGATACAGGCAAACACTAGACTGCAGATGCCTCAAGAGTAGGTTCTATGACTTGGGCTCCACCCCACAGGTCCCCATAATGCCCACTGTGTTTGCTTTCAGTGGGTATTCAGCAAAAGCCACTGACTGGTTAACTGGCCTGTGGGTAGCTGCCAGAAAAACAATTATCTTATCACCAAATTGCCGATAAAGGAAGATTCTAAATCAACTGACACAAGTTTCCACCCAGGATGCCTTGATGTGGCGATAGTCACAGGGTAAATAAGAGACAAAATCAGAGAACTCGAGCTGGTCAACTGAATGGGTGCCTGGATACTGGGGGTAATTTGTAGGGAAAATTTAGTAGTCGGGGAACCAGAAGAGACTGCAATATTTGTAAGATATCTTTACCTACAAATAAGTGATGCTTTGGTTTACTGAAGTAATAAAAAATTACAGGTGCCCTAATGTGGTAAGAGTCAAGTTAGAGATATGGTTGGAGAGGAGAAATGAGGACGGAGTAACAAAAGAAAATGTAATGGAAACTACAGGCTCATTTGTAGTTTTCATAGATAATAAATGTATATTTAATTATTTTTGTGTGCCATTTCTGATTTGTGACATTTTTGAATATTTATTGAGTGTACACGTCAAGGTTAGGGAATTTTTGTATTACATAACTTTTTTAGTCCTTACAACAATTCAGGAAAAGAGGAAAAATCATTATCCTCATTTTGTGTAATGGAGAAACTAAAGTCAGGCAAATGAATTAACTTGCCTAATGTTCCACAGGCAGAAAGTCATGGGATTTGAATTTGCAATGGTCATATTTCCCATTGTAAGCATTCGTAAGACGCTGTGGCCAAGGAAGCAACAGGGGCAGGGTGGTGTTTGTGGGTGGGAGTAGGGTGGCTGTTCCATCACCAGGGAAACCACCTGTACTCTTTCTTTGGCTGAACCGGGCTGGTGGATGACTGCACTTCTTTGCATGATGAGCCATTATGCCTTCACCAGTAACCCATCTATGCATTGACCACACACACAAAAGTCAGACATGCTTTGATTTAAGTGAATAGCACATGGCTCTGAAAGCACTCTTATAATTTAGATTGTGGAAAGATAAAAAAAATTCTCCCAACAATATATTAATTCCTTTCCGTTTTCTGAGGTTTATGCGTGTGCAGAGGTACTGTAGGTCCTCTGTCTTCTAGTGTACCATGCTCTGCTGAGCTCTAATTCCAGTATAAGAATGTCTGTCCTACCTTCTCAAAAATATTTTGAATGGGATAAATACCCGTTAGTTACAGTCTCTTTCTGTTTGTAGATCATTTGCCCCTTTGGCGGACATATCCTTTCTTCCTGAACAGGAATAGTTTTTGTGACAGCATTTGGAAGATGCTCATAGTTACTTATTCATCTAATGTCTATTAAAAGGGAGAGGTGGTTAAAAAAAAAGCAGTTACTTGCGAATTGAGTTAGCATTAATAAAATTCCTATACGTATTATTCTAACTGATGATTTAAGGTGTGCAAATAATTCAAAATGTTCATTCTTGTTCCTCTAGATGCAATCTCCCTCCTTTGTCAAGTGAATACACTAAAGATGTTGGATCCAAAAGTCATTTAGTGACAGCTAATCCCAGCATAATTCGGCAGAGGTAAGAGTTTATGACTTCTGTTTCTGAGGAATGAAGATGAAATCCTCTCAAGTACTTAGCATCTCAAAAGCAGTGAGCATAATTCAGTTTGGGAAATCAAGAGGAAAACCATCTGGAGAGGCAGGAAGGATGAAGTTAATTGTAAATAAAGAAAGCAGGATTATGGGAATCCAAACAGTGTTTATACTTCCTCTAAGATTCTGTTTCTTTCCTTTAGAGATGGTAGAAGTAACATGAGGATCAATTGTTTTGCTTAAAGAACAGCAGAATATTCTGCGTACTCATTACTGCTACTTTTCAGTTTGTTGGCTTCAGTCCCAATTTGTTGATTGGCAACTGAACCGAATTAATATCAAGAATAAAAAACAAAGCAATGGTCAATCCACTGCATGTGCATGCATTAAAATAGCAATACTGTCAGAATGTACAAGAATGTGTGATTATAATATACTATGTTACATTACATTATATTCAATCATATTTGGGGGAGTGCATGTAAAATTCTTGTTCTAATGTTAATTCTGGAAATCTTGAAATTGCTTGGAATCTTGGAGGCTGCTGTGGGAGCTTTGGCGGGGGTGGGTCAGTCTGTAGTTGATGAAGTGTATCAGCGAGCTATCAGCTGTTTCTCCAAGGATTGTTCATTGTAGAGAATGAGTCCCTCTCCGAGGAAAGAGGAATCAAGCATTGCTTTAGGCCCTCCTGTGTCCCTAGCAATTAGGAGTGAAATATCCAGATGTTCTGGGCCCAGGCCCTTGTCATAATGAACAATATGTGTGTTCCCTTATTCACAGTGTGGGACTACTGGTTTTTGTTCATAAGAATTCTCACAAATTAGATATCTAGAAATGCAACCAGCTTTTAATTTTGGCAGATACTGTGAAATTACCCTCCCCAAATATATCATTTATCTTCAGTAATGAGTAAGACTGCTTGTTACGTACATGGAAAACAATACTGTATGTGAAAAAAAAAGAAGAAGGATAGATATATTATACTTTACTTAATTTGCATTTTTTTAATATAAGAAGAGTTGAGTGGGTATTGATTATTCGTATTTTTTCTTCTGCCCCTTTGTATTTTTGTACTACTTTCAACTTGCTTTTAAAAACTATTTTTCTATAGCTATATAGGAACTCTATATTATGGATATTAAGTCTTTGTAGCAAATATTTTCTTCTAGCCTGTCACGCATACTTTAACTTATATTCTATTTCAATTTAAAATTTTTATGCAATGAGACTTGTTAGTATTTTCTTTTATGGCTTCTTTTATTAAAACAATATTTCTTTGGATGATCTTTCTTACCCTGATGCTCCTCCCTTCCATGAAAAAAAAATCCTGAAGTTTTCTAATACATTTATGGTTTATATTTAGAAATTTAATCCATGTAAATGTATTTATTTTTATTCTTATAAGAGTAATTTTATTGTTTTTAAACAAAAATATATGTCATTATAAGAAATTAAACAGAAAAGTGCAAAGAAGAAATAAGAGAACAGAAGAAAATTTTTTTATTAAAACATTTGTATACAAGGATTAAAATATAGAGGGTGCTATACTATGATGGCACACTAAAATGAAAGAAATAATATTGAAGTGAGAAAGGCAGCATTTCTATATTAGAATATTATCCTATTTATATTAGATATTTTATTCATATCTCATAGTCTTCTCTCAAAGCTGTGCAAATCCAAGACATCAGCAGTTATCCTGTACTTTCATGTGATGAAAAATTAAACTCATTGAGAAAAGATGTGCAGTGGAAATGCTAATTTTCATAGCTGTCTCCAAAACCTTGATTCTCCTAAAAATATTCTCTCAGAAGTTACAAGCATGAAGAGTTTTCACTATAAAATTCTCTTAGAAAATATCAGTAACAGAATAAAATAAGTTTTAGAAAACTGAAGTATACATATATGAGAGGCATACATAATTATAGTGACAAAAAGAAAGTTAGAAAAGATAATATTCACTGCTGTATCTAAAAGAAATTGCCAGTAAGAAGGAGCTTTGCTACAGCCTTTATTAGGTTAGCTTGTTTGGAGTGCATTTTTTTTGACAGTACCTAGAACAAAAAGATTAGTTAGGGTGCCTGAGACATAAGATTAGAAGGGGCTTTGCATTCACATTCATCCTCTCATTACATTTTTATGGTCCAGGAGAAAAGAGGTGGTTTTAATCTGGCAGCTGTTATCTTTAAACTCCTTACTACTATCCTTTCTCTTTCTTTGCTGGCCTTTGCAGGTGAAAGGCAGAAGATTCATACATAGCATTACCTTTTTTTTTTTTTTGAGATGGAGTTTCACTCTTGTTACCCAGGCTGGAGTGCACTGGCATGATCTTGGCTCACCGCAACCTCCACCTCCTGAGTTCATGAGCATTACCTTTTATCAATATGCCATCTGTAGCCCTTGTTCTTCAAACATTTTTGTACAAGTACTGTTTATTTTATTTGTCTGAATATAATGGATACAGTACCATTTTGTTTCATGGCTACATTGCATAGTGGTGAAGTTAGTGTTCAAATATCCTTTAAACATTTTTTTAAATCCATCATTCCCTTGATTATTTTTAATTAACTTAATTTTTGTGGCATAGGTTAAATTGTTGCTAAGGATGGACTTTTTAGGGAATTATTTACATATGCTTTAAATATATATTGTCAGAATTTCTGAAGTGCAGATCGAGCTCTTCAGATTTTATGTGTCCTCATGGCAAAATCAGTGCTCTTTGTCAAATTAACTTATTAAGTTAACTTTTTGTAAGAAAAGATGGACTACCTTTTTAATTAAAGTGTTACAGTATAACTTAATATAATCATCTCACTTCTGAGGTTTGATTATTCAACTGATACAGTATGGGGAACTGTCAAGAGAGTTTGTCCCCTGGATAAAATAAGGCATAGCTCCTTTCTACTTCTTTTAAATAAATTTTTGCTTTTTTTTCAGGGAATATTCTCTCAGAATCAATGTATTTTGGAGATGTTTCTTTGTTTGGTGGCCTAGCAGTTTTTATCCTTTTGGGCAAGGCATCATTATAATATTTGGGATAATAGGAGGCATGAATTTCTTTTATGAAGTAGAAAAAGAAAAATTATGGAAGTACAGTTTGGCAAAGAGAGTTCTTTAGACTGTCAGATTGGTCTTAAGCAAATATATTTTTTAAAAGTATACATATGGAATTTGAAGGTCTGGAAATTTATGGCAAGAAGGAGAAATAACATAGAAGCCAACAAATATTTCTTGAAATCTACTCTGGGACAGGACAAAGTTGAATGAAACGGCCTCAAGCCCTGAAGTTGCTCCCTGAAGCATTCATACCGATGCTGGAGTGGCCACGGAAGGGAATTAAAAAATTTCAGGGAACCCTTCTGTATTAGTCCATTCCCACATTGCTCTAAAGAAATACCTGAGACTGGGTAATTCATAAAGAGAAGAGGTTTAATTGGTTCATAGTTCTGCAGACCTTACAGGAAGCATGATGTTGGCATCTGCTCAGCTTCTGGGGAGGCCTCAGTAAACTTAACAATCATGGCAGAAGGCAAAGGGAGAGCAGGCATATCACGTGACCAGAGCAGGCGCAAGAGACAGCGAGTGAGCTGCCACACTTTTAAGCAGGCAGGTCTTGTGATAAGTCACTGACTATGGCAAGGACAGCACCAAGGACAGCTCTAAGCCATTCATGAGAAATCATCACCATGATCCAATCACCTCCCATCAGGCTCCACCTTCAACACTGGGGATTACAATTCAATATGAGATTTTAGTGCAGACACAGATACAAAACATATTATCTTCTGAAAGTATAAAAAATGTTCTCTACAAAAAATAATAAAAAATTGATGGGCATGGTGGCATGTTCTTGCAGTCCCAGCTACTTGAGAGGCTGAGGTGGAAGGATTGTTTGAGCCTAGAAAGTTGAAGCTTCAGTGAGCCATGATTGCCCTCCAACCTGGGCAACAGAGCAAGAGCCTGTTTAAAAAACAGTTGGTATGAATTAGGAAACAGAAAGATATTTAGAACAAATGGAGTAAAAATCATGGTGGAGGTAACCTTTTAAAATTTGTAAATGCATAACTTTTAATTCAGTAAGGTGACTTGATATGAGACCTAGATATTTATTTTTAGGTATAACCTCAGTAATATCTTTCCATACAAGTGTAAGAAATTTTACTCAGTAGTTAGTGTCTCTAAGTTTAATAAAGGGAATTGAGAATGTAGAAATAATAACTGGAGGAGTAATTGTTTATGTTATTTATGTGCTTTTAAAGTAATAATAACTTGAGCTTTGAGGAAAACAACTTGGGTCCAAAAAGGTTATAGCAATTTATCTTTAAAATTGTACACATATTTACTTAATGTACATACATGTTTCAAACTGTGTTCCTAAAACTTATGTATCTCTTTTGCTATATGACTTTGTATGACTTCTTTTCTTTCTCCATACTCAGAGCAGCTTATCAGTGTTTGTATCAAGGCTTGGAAGTCACTGATAGTTATTCATTCTAACTGTTCTACAATAAGAGAGTTAGAAGGCAGATAACAAAACTGAAACGAGATAGCAAGTAGGAGATAGAAAAGAAAAGCCCCTAGAAATATGAATACTTGGAGTTGGTGTCTGAGACAATATTACATAGCAATGAAAAACACAAGTTTTGACCTAGAATGAATTTGTTTTCAAATTCTAGTGCTAGTGCTAGTAAGTGCTTCTACCTACTAGCTATGTAACCTTAGTTACTTAATGTATCATATGTCAATTGAGTATAAAATTATTTACCTTGAGAACTGTTGAGAGATATAAATGAGACAATGTAGCTGACTAGAATAGTTTCTATTAGATGCAGCTAGAATAGTATCAAAGTAGCTACTCAAGAAGACTCTCCTGTTGCAATACATTTTGTTCTTGGATAAAACATATTTTTAAATGCATTATTGTACTCATCAAATTTAGAGAACTCTCCAAGCATATCTGCATGTCCACCTTCCCACCAAAAAAAA